GGACGATGGTGACGTGCTGTTGTACAGGTACACCCGGGTCGACCTATAACTGAGGGCTTTGCCCCTTTGGTTGGTTGGACGTCGGTGACGTGCTGTTGTACAGGTACACCCGGGTCGACCTATAACTGAGGGCTTTGCCCCTTTGGTTGGTTGGACGTCGGTGACGTGCTGTTGTACAGGTACACCCGGGTCGACCTATAACTGAGGGCTTTGCCCCTTTGGTTGGTTGGACGATGGTGACGTGCTGTTGTACAGGTACACCCGGGTCGACCTATAACTGAGGGCTTTGCCCCTTTGGTTGGTTGGACGATGGTGACGTGCTGTTGTACAGGTGCACCCGGGTCGACCTATAACTGAGGGCTTTGCCCCTTTGGTTGGTTGGACGATGGTGACGTGCTGTTGTACAGGTACACCCGGGTCGACCTATAACTGAGGGCTTTGCCCCTTTGGTTGGTTGGACGATGGTGACGTGCTGTTGTACAGGTGCACCCGGGTCGACCTATAACTGAGGGCTTTGCCCCTTTGGTTGGTTGGACGATGGTGACGTGCTGTTGTACAGGTACACCCGGGTCGACCTATAACTGAGGGCTTTGCCCCTTTGGTTGGTTGGACGATGGTGAAGTGCTGTTGTACAGGTGCACCCGGGTCGACCTATAACTGAGGGCTTTGCCCCTTTGGTTGGTTGGACGATGGTGACGTGCTGTTGTACAGGTGCACCCGGGTCGACCTATAACTGAGGGCTTTGCCCCTTTGGTTGGTTGGACGATGGTGACGTGCTGTTGTACAGGTACACCCGGGTCGACCTATAACTGAGGGCTTTGCCCCTTTGGTTGGTTGGACGATGGTGACGTGCTGTTGTACAGGTGCACCCGGGTCGACCTATAACTGAGGGCTTTGCCCCTTTGGTTGGTTGGACGATGGTGACGTGCTGTTGTACAGGTACACCCGGGTCGACCTATAACTGAGGGCTTTGCCCCTTTGGTTGGTTGGACGTCGGTGACGTGCTGTTGTACAGGTACACCCGGGTCGACCTATAACTGAGGGCTTTGCCCCTTTGGTTGGTTGGACGTCGGTGACGTGCTGTTGTACAGGTACACCCGGGTCGACCTATAACTGAGGGCTTTGCCCCTTTGGTTGGTTGGACGATGGTGACGTGCTGTTGTACAGGTACACCCGGGTCGACCTATAACTGAGGGCTTTGCCCCTTTGGTTGGTTGGACGATGGTGACGTGCTGTTGTACAGGTACACCCGGGTCGACCTATAACTGAGGGCTTTGCCCGAGTGGCGAGTGCGAAGTGCGACAAAGGCAGCTGATTACCGTGAAGGCCTCGCTGTATCTGGAACACTTACCAACACTCTCACCATAACCGTCGGTAGATTCGGCTGCGACTGGGACAAGATCACTATTGTACTGCTAAACGATCGAGGTCTTTGGTTAACCGAGTGTTTAGAAGATTATCATCTGAATCGGATAAAAATCGGTTGTCTTTGAACAAAAATCTACTAGTAGATTTCGCAAGCAGTTATTGTTTTGAAAAGTAGGTGTTCCCTTGGTTGATATTTCACTGCTGTTGTGAAAATTCACGACATAATGTATTTTTTGAATCGAATAACATTGGTGCCTAATAGATATGACCTCACATTGTATGATGCTCAGATTTTATACGAAATCAGATGGATTTCACTTAGGATTACTTCACTAAATACAGTACACACAAACCAGAACTGAATAGCTTGAAATTATTGTCTATCAACAGCTTTGACCTGCTGATAATAAAATTCAACTACTATACGAGCTGCTAGCTTTTTGAGACTTTCAAATAGCAAATTAAGATCATACCCAACCGAGCGAAAACAATTGAAATAATAATTTCATTTTATTTTAATTTTAATCTTAAATACAGAGGTATCGAAGCAGCCAGTAACATCTTTGTTGACGTGGTTATTTCAATGTAAACGATACTGTGGTCGTTGTAATACACAAATACAGTACCGAGAATTCATTATCTTCATAAATATAATTGCAGACTTGGTGACCATTTAAGCGTTCCTTGGCTTGGTCAACAAATTAGAACATTAAGGGTATTAATGACGCTGTTTTTGACATTTAAAATGCAAGGTGTAGTTATAATAGGCTACATAATGACATATAATTTGCCCCCGTGGATACAGAAACCAAACATGTTAATGTGTGTTTCTCGACAACTATGTCAAGATTAAACCTCAGGGATATCCCTGCAGCATTTACAGATTAGGGATGGAGTGGAAAAACTCTCAGGGAAGACGGACGTCAAGTTCCCATTAGTTTTCATATTTTAACTCTTAACATATTCAACGTTTTGCTTATAAAAGATGATATGATTAGCTCTCAAACCTTTCTTTAGAAATATTGCTTAGTTAAGATGTTATATGACAGCTGTTAATGTTCAATATTAACTACATTATTACAATAAACAAGACACACGGATCTGGATGTACCAAAGCGTCGGGTACGATACGAGCGGCGAGCGGTGAACGGCAAGCGGCAGTGGTGGCTACGATACAAGGGGCACATTTTATAGCTCATCAAATTTCCCCAATTGTAGGAGTCAGTTTAGTCGAAAATGGCAAACAGTGCTTACCTGCAGCAAGACTTATTGCGACTATTCTTGCTATCTAAAAATTGTTCGCCTTTAAAGAAAAACTTTGGTTTTAGAAACAACTTATCCTTTACTTCGTCCCATACTTTTCGGGTGACATGAGTGTTTTAAAAATTCCGTGCTGGTCATTCCACAAACATTCCCTAGACTGCACCTCACGTATCGACCCGTATCGGATGTTTGCTGCTGTTTCTCTGTCATTTTAGGCCGAACTGAAGCATGACTCACCTGAGCGGCGAGCGGCGTTTTCGCGAAAATCGGTTTTGACTTGGAACCATGAGCGGTGCCGCTTATACCGTCGCTCGCCGCTCAGACGTATCGTGGCCACCCTCAACAAAACGCAACTATGAGAATGAGACCCGATGTCAGAGCGGCGCCGCCCATGCCGCTCGCCGCTCGTATCGTACCCGGGGCCAGTGACACTTGAGTAGTTTAGTATAGGAGTTTGTTGGATAACATCCATCTGCCCAGTATCCAGGGTCAAGTTTCACTGTTGCTGCGCCCACAACTACATTACCATTGCGCCAGTTTTCCTCATATTGCTAACCATCCAATCATGCTCTTATTAGTATGTGCATAACCAAGTTAGGGAATCGTTAAATTAATTACTTTCCTATTACATTGTATATTGTGTAGACGAAATTATTTGTTGTTCATATTTTATTGAATAACTGAAATATTACGAGGGGACCCGTGCGCATATTGTGCGGTTTAATAGAGTTCAGAACTTAGTGCAAACCGAATAATGCAACACCCTTTTACCTCTTAAAGATTGTGTTTGTTTTATGTAAAAAACTACTACCTAATAAAAGAAATTATATTTGTTGGTTTTATAAATATACCAGAACGAGTTATCAACTTATCTCAATCAGGTTACGATAATCATCCAAATTTGTTTAGGTCATTTAAAATCCATTTTCATAAACTGTTTCGTCTATTGCCTAAAATCTGATAGTGGTTAAGCATTCAGCTTAAGGATTAACCGTTACGAAATTACAGTTAATATTATAACCCCATTATAGAGATATTAGGCATCACCTGATCTTTGGAACTCTAGAAAAAAATCAAACGCCGGTGGGGCGAAGCCCTAAATTATATTACCTTTTTAGTTACGACCTCAGCGAGATTATAAGCTTTAAAATAACAATACTAACTAATTATTTACTTTCCGTTAAAATGACGCCCTAATCGTAAAAATCGGTTAAGTAGGACGGCCAAAAAAGGGTTAACAAGAAAACTATTATTGTATTGAATACATCACTGAGTGAATATTGGTATGGAACACTTGAACTATTGGAATATAGAGACCTTCAACTGATATGGTAACCAGAATGCTACCAGTTTGTTGTCATGCTAGTTAATCATGCAATTTGTTTAAGATGTACTGCCTAAATAATAGGAAACATTTGTGTTCATTGAATTGGTAAATGTGAAATTCAGGGACTAAATATAAATATAATTCTTGTGTGAAAATGTGGGGTGAATCAAATAATAACACCGTAATATTGATTAAGGGAACGTTAAAAGAGGTTTAATACAATAGGTTCTTGCTGGTTCTGTATTCTCATTGTATTTCTTGTGAGCGTTAAAAAAACTATTCACTATTGAATATATCATAAAATTGTGGAGAAAGTCAGTAAACGAACAAAACATATTGGTAGCACGTACATTTTCAATATTTTACGGACTACCATCATTTTGTACAAACACTCGTATTACCATTGCCATTTTCAAATTTAAGAGTCATCGTGTCTTTTTTCAGTTTGCCTCACCAGTGTTGTCCCCATACAATTACGAAGATTTAGATTTAGATAAATAAGTGTTATAATTGATAATTCTGAACAAAATTGAACTTTTACAATTTACAAGGACAACTTCTAATTCATCATATTTTTATGTTTAAGCTAACAGAGCTATTAAAGACTGTAAACAATAAATAGCACAAAAATAAACATCATTTATATTCTTGGACTTCCGAAAAATGTTGTAAATTAATTGGGATTTTTTCAGTAGAGGGCTGAAACTATAAAGTTTCCCTTCACGATTAGTTTTGTGATTATTTTTGTTCAGTAAATAGAAACAATCGTGTGAGTAAAGCTACAAACTAACCTAACCTAACCTAGACTGTGGTTATTCCACTGTTGAAATTGTTGCGGCCCTCGTCTGAAAAAGGCCAATTAATTTAGTATTTAACTTATTACTAATGAAATAAATACTGCGCATACACGAGACAAATTAAATCACTAAAATCGTCAACATCTAATTTAAAATGTGATTTTCAAGATGACATAAAGTTGCTCTTCGTGTAAAATATCAAATGTTTATGTTGTTTATTGTTTACAAATGCTAGTTTAAGTTACCTGTTGTTAGGTGAGCAGCTGATGATGGTCAGGTTGCCACTGCACTCACACCCCGGCACCTAACTGATACAGTGATAACCTTCACCCCCCACCCCTCTCACTACGACTGCGCGAACCTCTAGTGCATTGCGCACGCGGCCTTGGACCATTGACTCGCCACGACTTACTCTACGTGATCAAGTTTAGGGCAGTAAAATAATTAATTTGGACCATACGTTTTATACAGGGTATATCGGAACTCAACCAATATTTAGTGTATTGTTCCTGAGTAAGAAACAAATATAAATATAATATAGAAATTGTCCGGATATCCTTAGTTATTCACACAGCCGCCATTTTGTTTTTTCACTTATTATATTTTTAAGTGGTTCAAATTCATACAAAAAAATGGTGGCCATTTAAAACTTACGTAAAATCTATGGTTTTTGAGCTATTTAAGAAACAAAATTTTAAATAGCCGCCATTTTATTTTATGAGTTTGAAAAATTGTCATAACTGTTTTGTGGCCTTTTCTATTTGTCATAAATGTTTTTGCAAAGTTTTAATTTAGTATCCTTAACCACGCTTTGGAACAAAGTAATAAGTGAAAAAAAACAAAATGGTAGCTGTGTAAGTAACTATGGACTTCCGGACAATTAAAATATGATATATAGATATATTTCTTACTCAGGAACAATGCCCTGCAATATTGGTAGAGTTCTGGGACACCCTGTAGACTCTCTTGAAGGTGACGGACCGAACCCCAAAAACTCCGGCCGCAGAAACCTACAGACTAAGGAAATTTGCATTTGTCTGTTTGGAGTTTTATTAAAATATTTACCCGAATATGTAAGATATATTTCCCATTTAAACAAGCAGACTATAAGGCCCGCCGCACATTGGAGCGAGGCGAGGTGCAGGCTAGGTGCAGGCGAGGTGCAGGCGGGCGCGGCTGATTCTGTAATACACGTGTTTATATGGAGCACCGCACATTGAGCAGAGGCTGCGCGCAGCCTCCGCGCAGCACAGCTGCAGCCTCTGTCAGGCCTCCGCGGCGTTGTGGTTGGAATACAGTTTTCCTGCACCTCGCTCGCGCCTGCGTTGGTTTTCTAGTGTTTTGTTCGTGAAAGATATAGTAGGAGCATTTTATTCAGATGGCTATATTTGTTGAGCATTGCATTCATTTTCGCTAGTGGCACTTTTAAGAAAATTATGGATATCATCAAACTGTTGTTTGTTCACACGAAAAAATGCTCGTAAAAAGACCGGTATGGCAGTTAAGTAGTTAAAACATAATCTCCACGACTTAATCTTTTTTCATCTACCGTAATCACATTTCCAAAAACAAATCGTTTTTCGGATAGCGAATAGAGTAAAACTAAATTATTCAACTAACAATTAGAATCAGTAAATGTCAAAAAAGCTTCCCCTACTTCCGAAAGTACGACCAAAGCTAGGAAACCTCTGTCCCGCCTCGCTTCAATGTGCGGTGACACGAAAAAGTCTTCGCTCCCACCTGCACCTAGCCTGCATCTCGCCTGCACCTCGCCTCGCTTCAATGTGCGGCGGGCCTAAGAGTGTACTAATTATCCATAAGAATAACGTTGGAATTTGAAATTTACGGTTTATTTTATTTTACTTGTAACCTTAATAATTGTAAAACGATGCTTTGAGATTCAAAATTGTTCCTCTTTAGCCCTTCACAATGGCTGTAATGTAGACTGGACATTTTGTTGTTTTAAGGGTAAAAAAAACCAACCTGTAAAATCTCTAAACATCCCGTCCCCATCGAGTTATAAGTGTTGTTCCCCACGGACTTGTACCATAAGTGTTTTTAGTCTCAAGAACACCGAAGTTAAAAAGTAATTCGGTCCCGGTCATAGGTCTTACCGTGCTAATTACGGGAATAGCTTTTGGGAAATTAAAATGGCATGATTTTACCCCTTTTAGTAGATGAATAGAGGTAAAATTATGTAGATAGATCCAATCTACCATTTTGATTGCTGTACCCTGGCTGTGTAATTTCTGTGACGGAATCGGAGTCACTGCAAGTTTTGTGAAGCATCCAGTTACGTTTTATCACATGTATCGATATAACAATCACTACAGTAGTCATAATCACCTTTAAGTTCATCATCTTTGATCAGACCTCAAATTACGTCTCCGTTAGAGAAAGTGAAGCCACATCTAGTATTCACGCAATTATAATCATGCATTCAGTTTTAACCATGTTTCATTCATTAGATCGTCTACGTACACACTTCTGTTCTTGCGCAAAACGTCCAGAGCAGTAGGGGTAGAAACGTACGTAGTAAGCTGTAACGAATTACTACCAATCTATAGCGAATCACCAATGGACACGGAAATATTGCTACGACCGGCTGGCATAGCCACAAATTCACATCTGAACCCTTTCAATTATATTAAAAACCTTTCTTTTAGCGAATTTTCCATATAGGGTATAAGCGTTTACTTTACTTTTTCGTTTTGAGGTCACCAGAGGCCAAAAACACCATTCTTTCAAATTCATAAATATATGTATGTGTCCATTAGCGCGATAACTCGTGCAAAAATTTGCCAATTTTGATTAAATTTTGTACAATTGTGTGAACCTACGTATATTCGAACGAGTTCGCGAACCAGCATGATCGGATTATGGGAACGGGGGTTTATGGGGGGATTTATAGGGGGGAAATTGTTTTTCCCATTTTTGACCTTAAAGACGCAAGATTTCATAGATTTCTCTTCAAACCATTTTGTAGAGCTTAAAAAAGAGATAATTTTGTATATTGAAGCGTCGTTGTATGCCCAACGGTCACGGAGATAATAATAAAAAATAAAATTTAAATTTAAAATTCCCATGTAAATAAATTGTTGTAGTTTGCTTGCTTATGGATATATTTAAATCAAATTTGGCCCATTTTGTTTATTTCATACTAAGCTATCAACATTTTAATAAATAAAGACACCTCAATATTTTCCCCGTAGCAGCAAACCTAAGTACTCACTAAAATTAATGTTATTTAAATAAGAAATAAATCTGAAACTTTTTAGCGAATATTTTATAAGAAATCAAGCCGGGTAAATGGAAATTCGCTTAGTCTGCAGGTTTGCTGTGGCGAGGGTATTTAAATGGTCGAACTAAAGTTTCAGTGAATTTAGCTAAAGCGATACATATATTGCTGATCGACGATATTCTTGTCATCGAACATTTATTCTGAGGCAGTCGCGTGTAATTTAAACTTGTAATCAACCAAAGCCGTTGGGTGTGAATAAACTCAGAACTCTTGACTGTAATGGATTTGTTTTCATGTATGAATCCAATCAGGTTTATAACTGGCGTTAAATAGTGGTTTGGTGATCACAGAAGTTGAACAGCGCGATCTCACAGAAAGATGTCCCGGGTCCTGGGTTCCTGTCACGTTCCATACCCCACTTCTAGATCAGCTAGAGATTTGAAATTTGATTCTATTGCAAGTCTTGGTCACAACTCCCCTGAAATATTCCAAACATTGTCAATTTCCATTATTAACCACTCCGAAATTTCGAATCCCCCATGGAAAGTGACTTTGGTTTGCGGATATAAACGATTTAGGAACGTGAAAAGACAAACAATATGGCAAAGATGTAGAAAATAATCTCGAAAAATCTAGGTAATTCCTAAAAGTGACTTAAAAAAAAATTAACCCTTTTAAAAATCCAAAAAGGCGGACATCTGAAAACGACATAATATGTTTTTTCGACGGATTCCGGTGACTAAAGGGAAGTTGTATCGTAAAATTGACAGCATTGCTCATTTTTGACGCTCTTTAACTTAGGTGGCGCTAAGTTTTTCAAACATTGGAAGCTTTCATAAACTTTTCAATTGTTTTGACAACCTTTTCTACTTTACTCCAAATTATAGGAAAAATCTTGTAGCTTATAGTATAGTTTATCTGGGGGTTGTTTATCCTTTATTCATGTTGAGTTATAATGATTGTGAATTGGAAGCAATGTGGATTTAAGTTGTAATTCAACATTATCAATGAGAGTGTAAAGGCTGATAGACGACATCGTTTTCATCAGTGGATTTGACAGTTCTGAGGCTTCATAATCCTCTGTCTCGGGTGGTTAGCTGAGAGGAGGCCGGTTGTGGTGGTTGAGTACCACCTCTTTACATCCCCAAATACATTCTTAAAACGAGAAAACTGCAAAAAGTGCTTTCAAGTGTCCGACATCAATGGAGTTAAAAAATAATTTGAAAACAAAATGTAAATGAGTTTGGTACAAACGAATGTCTACTGATATGTTACATATTCCTCTAAATATTTGAATACATCGATATTTTACCAAACGACTGTGTATAAATTATGATTTCAAGTATTGCTGTAGCAGATAAAATCTTCAGTTTTGTATACCATTTCGTCTCTCTGATTGATGGCAATCAGAAAGAATAAAAAAATGCAATTCATTAATAGGTGCTGCATGTTATTAAAATATCTATGAAAATATATAGAACAGAATTGGGAATATCTTAATTACAACATACGACGATGTGATTCTCGTATGAACATTATTTTTCCAATAGTCGCAGTTTCATTCTCATTGTTAAAGCACATACTAACTCATAGAGATTTATATAATTCCGGGCTCGTGCCTAGCGACCTTGGACAAAAAATCCTTCCATATTTGGTAGTATTTCAAATAAGATAACAATTCGAACATAATTGTTTCCATTATTGTTATTCATCTCAAGGATTACAAACAAAGTAAGTCCTATCTGTGTTACGCCATCTAGAATATTAAGTGCATTTGACTTGTTTGATTTCTAAGGAAATTTGTTCATTCTAGTTGCGTAAGTCTTTTTTCTCCTAGTCAGAAGGCGTTTGTCCTTAGTTACTTTTTTCGATTAAATTGTTTAGTTTTAGTTTACATGGATAGTTCATTTTCTCAACAAAAAATTGATTAGTTACGGGTTTTTTTATTATTTGCACCGATAAGTAGTATTGTAATTAATATCGATCTTAATTGCTGTAACCAAGGTAATCCAAGGTGTACAGTATTATGTAATTGGCAATCGCAGTAAAATGATTATAAAATCAGGAGACTGCATATCAAGTC